ACCAATATAGGGCAGTGACTAAAGTGTATGAATTAACCCATTCAAGCATGAATATTGAAAACATGAATTGTTTATTCAATACTAGTCCACTCACATCAATTTTAAAATGTCCCTTAAAGATTTTTACACTTCTAAATGTACTCAAGTCCTCCTACAAAACTTTAACAGTCCTACTAGATCTTATTTCTTACAAAAATGTTCCCAAAAAGTTTCAATTCTTACACATTACCCCCCAAATTCACATAAATAAAATTGAAAAAGAAATACGGGGTATTACAATAATGCTTTGATCCGATTAAATTTTAAAGTTCAACAAACTCCATCGTATGAAAGTCAGATTTATATTTTATTTTGTTGAAATGTGGAGATTCAAACCTATGACCTTAGGCTTTAAAACCATGTTCAACAACGGATAGTTTCAGCATTAATTTTATAACAACTGACCTGTAACCCTTAATCTACTCAACATCCGAAATTCACAAATTCAATATGCATTTTCTTTTTCTTTTAAGCTCAACACTTAACAATTTTGATTAAATTTTGTTGTTTTCCTTGTATTTTCTATTTAATTAAGCATAAACAATGAACTACGCCTCATGCCATGGCAACCATTATAAATTTTACTTTATTTAGGATGAGGATTTTATTTTATAGATAGAACTAGGAGTTGGATGGAAGATGCAAAAGACTTACCAACAAAGAGTAGTCTTAATTTGAACTTGAAACAAGAATCATCCATCGAGTAAATGGTTGAATATTACATTTATCATACATATGAGCACTTTCTTACGCAAAAATCCAACTTTAGGGCTTTGAATATTTGAAAATTCATAGCTTATTGTGTTTGAATTTAAACTGATAGAACTAATGAATCTAGACATTGCCACAAAAATATCAAAACTTTCTCAAAAATAAACTGATACAAATGAACCATACCCACAGTTTGATGGAAAACGCAAAAGACCTATACCTCCAGAGAATTTTTATTTTTTTTATCACTTGAAATTGACAAGGATCTTGTTCTTCACTATTTTTTTCTTTTTGCAAAGAGCTTCTGAGTAGATGGATGCTTATTTTTTGTTTCTGCCGCTGAAACAGCTAAATGATTTTTAGGTCCGAAGAGATCCAAAGCACTTGGTCTTGGAACTCCAGGAGAAATCTCTTCAACCGTAGAGTTGTCGTCATGAACAAACATGTATGTATTTCGCACTCCATTTCGAGGTTGTTCTTGTTCAACACCATCCCCATTAGCACCTGGTGGAGAACTAGCTAAATGATTGTTACGTCCAAAGAGATCCAAACCACTTGGTCTTGGAACTCTAGGAGAAATCTCTTCAGCCGTGGAGTTGTTTTTATGAACAAACATGTATGTGTTTCGCACTCCGTTTCGAGGTTGTTCTTGTTCAACACCAACCCCATTAGCACCTGCTTGAGAACTAGAAGCTTTCGGTTTGCCGCTAAAACGGAATTTGAACATCGTTCATATCTCAAATCTCACTTGCACTCTCGCTCTCGCTCTAGGGTTTTTCTTCGTTCTTTTCTGTTGATGAGCCATTGGAAATTTATAACAAAATCTCACTCGCTGAGAATTTTACAGGTAGTTTTCTGCACCGTGTTAGTCAATAGGCCGCGTTAAAATAAAAACTCTCATAGTTTCTCTCTAAATCATATATTAAACCTTACCTCAATCAAATTAATCTTATTATCCGGCCACCATATTGGTTGATGTAGACTTAATTAAACTTCGCCACTTTTCAACCTTAATCAACATTGGGAATATTTTCATAAATTTAAATCCTTAAATTTCATCGTGAGTTTAGTGGTGTTAAGTGTAATTTTTCCTTTGTTCAATAAAATTCCTTCCTCGAGGTCTTAAAAAAAAAAAAAAAAAAAAAATTAAGGATTTCAGACCTTTTTTCCCGTCAATATTGTCTATAACAATTTTCTTTGCTGTTTCCCAAGCTGTTTATAATTTCTTTTTCTGTAAGTAAACGAGATTTTCCACACCGCCAGAGTGTATTGATCTTTGTTATCTTTAAAAAATTGTTAAGATGTGGACCTGATTGTAAATTTGACCTGTCTTTAGGGTGGATATGTTTTGCAATTTTTACTCAAAAGAAGACATACTGTACATGGTTTTGACCAGCAAGTCCGATCGGAATCCAATCCACTATATGGATAAAACCTGTTTTAACCATTAGACCAGATTGACCTGCGGTTCAACCGGTGGCTAAACTGGATTACTAAAATGTAATTTTCAATTTTTAATTTCAAATGATGTCATGCTGATGTCAACATTTTATTAATTACTAAAGTTTTAAAATTTTATTATGTCATGCTAACGTCAGCATGACGCCCTCAGTCCAACCTGTCGATCAGACCATCCGACCTAGGGACCAACCCCTTGACCGGGTCAAGGCCCAATCCAGATATAAAAACATTAAAATTAATAAATTTCTAAAATTATAACTACTCATAACGAATAAATATTTTTGTGTCAAATAAAATTTCTTGTAAATTCTCAATTGAAAAACTTGCAACTTTAAGGAAGGAAAGGAATTTTTTGGGGGGTCAAATTGGGAAAAAGAAAAAGCAAAAATGCAAGCAAATGTTTGCTGTAGTACGACAAACTCGTGCTATATATTATTCATATACCAAAACTTTTCAAAACTAAAGAAATATTGCAGTCAACAAATAGTTAATTTCGAAGTTATAAGAAATAGTTATATTTTACTAATTTTGTGTTAAGTGATATATAATCAGATATTGACTTGACTGAAGGAACTGCTTTGGAAATTACTACTTAGATAGGTAGACTAGTTTTCGTTGGCCATAGCCATAAGTAAAGCACTAGAAATGTTTGACCTGGAAAATAATATCCAAGCTTCTTCTCATTGGCAAATAAATATTGTAAAATTTTGTAGAGTTCTCATTTATAATGTCATTGTATGCTAGTTCAGATCACAAAAATCCTCTCATAATTTAGGTGCAATTTTCCTTAGCTACCTAATGGGCGACCATGAAGTTATTTCTTTTCACACAAGAAATCGGGGTATGGTTTGTAACATTATATATAGAAATTAAGGTTAGGTACAATAGGAACTGGACTATCTGCATCAATATTCTAACAACAAATATTAGTTTATAATATTTAATGAAGTTCTAAAACTCAGTTATGTTAATTAACACCATGCTAAGTAAGCGGTAACAGAACTACTTCACTTTCGCCTAGTGTCGGTTAGTTGCTTCAGCAAAACGCTGCGTTTCTATTACATTTCTTAGCAACAAATTGCAACTGTGCTTGGAGATTCAGAAGCTGAAGACAAATCTGTGGTCATAACAGATGCTGTGAAACAAGTTTTAGTTTTTAAACAAAAGTGTTTTTTTTTTTTTTTTTTTGGTATTTGTTTACAGCAGCTTTGTGTTTGCTGACATGGAAATTTACATGAATTGCCAACATGGATTTTGTTTTTTATATCAACAATCCATGATCTAATTCAACATCGTTCATAAAACTTCGAGGAAAATAAATAGTTGAGAAACTACATAAAAAACATTACCGTTTTCAAAAAATAATGTTGAATTCTTGAATATTAAACTTATTTGGGCTTATCACTTAAACCCGTATATAGATTATTAGTTTGATATTTACTTTTAAACCCAATGTAAAGCCCATATTTGATCCATGTATTTAGCCCAAATAATATGTTTTATAATTAAAAAAATCTTGTAAATATATCTCATTTATTAAGAAGTTGTTAAATAACTATTAATTATGAAAAGTGGTAGATGAATTTATTGGGATATGTGTTAATTCGGAGTTAGAGTGTAGAAGACTTCCTTGAATACTACAAAAGGGGGTTACCCCTAGCCATTTTGAATAAACCAAATTTCAGAAGCAATAATAATTCTCTCAAATTTGAGAAGCAGTAGTAATTCTCTCTTCAATCACTCCTCTCCTCTCAACCATCTTAGTAAAGCTCATTTTCTAACAAAGTGATATCAAAACTATAAAGATCTTGAAGATGGTAAGTGAGATGGTTTCCTTCCAAGTTCTAATGCTTAGCCAAAATATGGGAGATTGTGGAGAAAGGCTACAAGATGAAGGCATTGCTTAGGTCACAAGACACATGGGAGATTGTGGTAGTCGGAATCTATACAACGGCCTACCTGCTGACCAGAAATGGTCGGAAGTTCACCGCTGACGACCAAAGAAATGGCCGTCGTTGACGGTCAACGACGGCCAAATCTTGGCCATCATTGACCAAAAACGACGGCCATATCCTTGGCCGTCGCTGACGGCTAAAGATGGACTTCTTTTGACGTTTTTCGGCCGTCGACAACAATATTTAGCCGTAGATTTGGCTGGAAAAGACCATAGCGATGCGTTACGACACAGATCCGACCGGTCTATGTCGTAACGAAATTTTTCGGCCAGATTCCAGCGGTGGTGGCCAGAATCTGGCACTGCAGGTGGTGGGAGTGTTTTTGTCATTTTATATATTAGGGTGTTTAATTAAATTAGCAAACCTAGGGGTTTTTTCATAAATTTTTAAATTTTACCTTGTAATACTCCCCAATCCAACTACCTAATATTATTCCCAAAATCCTATCCAAAATAATAAACCAAACGCACTCTTATTTATTAGGAAGTTGTTAGATAACTATTAATTATAGAAGACGGTAGATGATATTTATTAGGATAGGTGTTTGTTGGGAGTTGGCGCATAGAAGTCTCCCTTGAGCATTATAAAAGGGGGTGACCCCAAGCCATTTTGAACAAGCCGAATTTGAGAAGCAATGGTAATTCTCTCTTCAATCACTCTCCTCTCAATCATCTTAGTTAACCTTGAGTTAGAAAACTCCTTTTCCAACAGAATTTGATGTCTATACCAATTCATTTTCTCTTCTTCGAAGGAAATAAATGCAGAACTCTAAAACTACATAAGAAAATTAAAAGCCAACATAATATGGCTTGTGTAAATTATACAAGATCTCAGTTATAACTTGTGTTATTCTAGCTTCCAAGCTTTACCACCGTTCATGTTGAATTTCTTTAGCCTTCCAAGGAGCATGACAAGAATGAGTATCAATTTTCCACCATTACTCCATCTTCCAACAAATCCATACCAAGTGTCTTTGCATGAACTCTCAGGATGCAATTGCCGTTTACAGCTGTACCCAGTGGTGAACCCAACATTCCCATATGCACTACAAGAAGGCATGTATTTTCCTTTTAGAAAATCTTAATTTATATTCATATATAAAAATTTATATTTCAAAATAATCTCTTCACCTTATAACTTCTACGGTGATGTTTAACACATTGAAGTTGAGGGGGTCTTCCTTGATTTTTTGCCTCTCTGTGATGCAGACCAGGATGGTAGAGATGACTAAATAAGAAAGTTGTGAGAGTATCAGATTCTTAGCAAAACGCTTCTTTCCCTTTTTCTTGAGTTTGCCATTTTTTGAATCTGTTTTACGGTATCTTCTGGGTAAAAACGATGTATAGGGTGGGAGATACCTGAACAAAGTAGGAAAAAATAGTTATGATCTGTTTTTGTCATTTATTTGATATAAATTCTAATTGTTGGAGGACAATATTGTCTATAAAAACTAATAATTTTAACGAGAGATTAGAGAAATTGATGTTTCTATTTTTAATATTTTGGTTAACGAGTTCAGATTAGATTAAAAGAGCAAACAATAATAAAAACAAAAACTTAGAAAGTGCATTTTATTGGAGTATTTTGAATAACAATTTTCAGGTATATTCTTAAGACATTAATTTAAGCCTGAGAATTTTTTTTTTTGTCTTTTAAGAATTGAAAACATTAAATTGTATTATAATTTTGGAAAAATACTTTCCTAAATTATCAATCTAAAGTAGGATTTTGAAAGTATCTTTTTGGGATAAACTCTCTCTTTATAGTCAAATAACAAACCCTTTAATTATTGGAGTTAGTTATACTTAAGAATCTTATGTTTAAGCCATAAGGGAGGCAATTATTGGGTTTACCCAAAAAAAAAAAAAAAAAAAAAAAATTAGACCTAAACTTCCGAAGTATAAATAGAAAATTCTTTATGTACAAACTATTTATGCAGATTGATGTGTTTTTTAAGTGATAACACAAAAGAAAGGGTTCCAAGTTTACCCTTCAACATGTGGTATCCATGAATGGCCAAAGAGAAGATGTGACAAAAGATTCTAACATTATTTATCTGATCATCATCTCTCATATTAACATATACAAATCAATAATTTTCTTTTCTACGATTTTTATATTTACTTCTTGTGCTCATTGTCCTCAGAAGGGTATATAAGAAGGGGCCTTTGAAACTTTCATGCCAAAGTTTTACTAAGAATTACTTTCTAATTATATAAATTAATTTACTAAAAACAAATATATATATATATATATATATTTTGGTTGTTTTACAAACTTCTAATTTCATAGGTTAATCTTAGCACCTATCATTTAAAAGCTATACATTAAAATTTAAAAATATTGATTATCTACTGTATATTAAGCATGACACTTGCTAATTTAATTAAAAATTATATCATGAATTTCTAGAAGAAAACCAAGAACTTACATCATAACAACGAAGGGCGTCATCATAGCTGGAGAAATTATGGAGAGATCAAACACAGATTCACCAGTATGCCTCAATTAACCACTTGAAAAAATGAAGCAACGAGTTTCTGGTAGGTGTTCATACCATCCATGGCTTCTGAATTCCATTCCGAGGCACAAAACATCACAAACTGAAGAAATATGAACCCAAATGCCGTAACACCAAGAAGAGAAGAATAAACGCCAGATAGCACGTGGCGATAGCCAATCTCTTTGTAATTCTTCAACATGTATTCAAACTCCCCTTGGTTTGTTACCTTCTTCAAAACCCAGATGAGAAGTCGCAGGAAAGATGGATACAATGTGTTGCCAAGGACGACTTGTGGGATTAGAACCCAAAGAAGGCCTGGATTTTTATTAAAAACCATCATGTTTTCATTGGTAGGGACGAATCCAGAGTTTGAGAAGGTTGAAACAATTAAGAACACAGAAAACGTTAGCGTATGAAGGCCCTTGTTTTTTAGCACTTCTTTTGCGTTTTGAACAAGGCTTATATACAAAAAAACTAGACTAATTCCACCTACATGAACAACTAAAAGATAACCTAATACTACATAAAACAAATATTTAATTGAATTATCAATTAAAGACTTTTCATTATCATCTTCTGAGCTATTAGTATTTGTAATAATAATTTGATTCTGGTTTTGTGTATGTGAAGAATGTGCCAAACCCAGCTCAATTTGGTCTTGAAAATTTGCGTTTTGTAAAGAAGAAAGGTCGATGTTATAATCTGAACCGACTCTATTTCCTAGGAAATGTTTTCTGGGAAACTTGTAACTTATNGGTAGAGATGCGTTAATGGCGGGAGGAAGAAGAAGGTGTTTGGGTTTGTTTGCAACAATTTCGGGTTTGTGGGAATATAGTATAATTTTGAAAAGATTACATAATACTTCTTTAATCATAATTAAGCACTAATCAAGTTTAATTACCCTTAATCAATAATAGGACTATTTAGTTAGAACTTTAAAACTTGATAGCTTTTTAATTAAATTCAAACTTGAGAGGTTGTTTTAATAAACTCTCCCAGGTCTTCCTCCTAGCTTCAAACACCTGCATTTTTTTTTTTCCTACTATGTTTATTGAAATCTTTGATGGGAAATACAGTGATGGAGGGAGGATTTTGTTGTAGTGGGACTGGGCCCCAGTCACTGGGGTACCTCAAAGAAAAAATTTCAAATTTTTGTTCATGGAATTTGATTTTTTTAATTTATTAAATTTTGTTAATAAATCTTTAATTTTGTATTTATTTTTTGTGTTTGATAATAATAAAAATGATTTTTAGAATTAAAAATATTAACTAGAGTTGATCCCACGGGAATTTTTAGCAAATTTTAGATGGCAAATCTTTCATTGTCTACTGGAATTTTTTCTGATTTTTTCAATTAGCTTGAGCTCGAATTTGAACTCGAACTTGAAAACTCAATTAACCGAGCTCGAATTCAAGCTCAAGTATCCCTTTAAAGTATCAAATTCAAGTTTGAACTCGATTCCTCAGGATTGAACTCGAACTCAAACTCGGTATTGTAGCATTCAAGCCAAGCTCAAGTAGTCAAATAGTTAACTCAACTCAACTCAATTTCACTTCTAGTTAGTTCTAATCATCGATCACCAAGTTAATCTATTGTTCTTTCTTCAATTAAAAATTAAAATCCTAATTTCACCACTTATGTGACAGAGATATTGCTGGATGCTTGGACAATTCACAACCACATTCAGAACATAGTGAGAGATAGGGCTATGGACCTCAATAAAATGAAATATTTCATGGCCAATATAAAACTTGTGAAGATTTGGAGATTACCTATGATTATCTTCAAAACCAACATGTGACGAACATGGGTTTTCCTAACCCAAGGATTGTTGTAAGGTAGGAATAATGTTATGTATTATTGTTCTTAGTCGTGTTTAAGTTTTTTTGAATCCTATCCCAAGGCATGTCCTATGGTAGGATGTCTTTGTCTTTGTGTTCCTTTGCTTGCTCCTCTCCTCTTGTCTTATCTTTCGTGTGTTTAAGATAGACAAACAAGAGGAGATCAGGTTTTCAGCGTATTAGGTTTGTGTTTTTGTTTCTTTCCCAAGATCTGTCCTGAGGTAGGATGGTCATTTTTTTATGGCTTCTTTGTACATTTTTTCTCTCTGTCAATGATATACTAATTAAAAAAAAAAAAAAAAAAAAAAAACAAATACTCATTACTCTTTTGATACTTTCCATAATTTATAAAACTCTTTTATATGGTTTACGCCAGTTAATTCTTTTTTAATACCATGCATATGCATGACAGTCACAATAATACTAGATTTCTTCCTGGAGGCGAATATCAATACCAGGATCCGGTATCGAACAAGATGCTTAAGAAAAATTTATTCATCAGTTTAAAATATAAATTTGTTCTCTTTGAGAGATTAGATTAGACTCTCCACTTGATGGTTCACTTCAGATTCTCTTTCAAAGAGCATTTTATCAATCTTTTCCCAGCCTGAAGCTTTTCTATTTGGGTTGCATCGACCCTGAGTACCAAAAGAGGTGAGTGTTTCAACTTTCAAGCCCAGTGTTTCTAGTTTTGGAGTTCTATTTCTCAATTATTTCGGGAATGCTGCAGAATGTTTACAGAAACATGTGATTAATATTACTAGCAGACATAGATAGATTTTTCTTGTTCTATCCTACATAAGAAATTCGGAAGTAGGTTTAACAATGCGATAGACACGGTTGCTAGAATTTCTCAGTAAAATAAATGAAAAAAGTATCCAAATGCTGATAATTGATCTTAAAACACCCTTTTTTTCCAAGTATATGCATATTTGGACAGTGTGGCCTGATCGATATTTTATCTCCCATAGCGGCATTCCATACAGATGAGTTGAAGGCAGTAGTTATAGAAGTTGATCCAATAATGGATTCAGTAGAGTGAGTTATAATATTGTTTGAAAGATGGGTCTACATTGCACTGAAGAAATTTTTTGTAATCTATTTGGGGGGTATTATACTTGATTTTTTAAATTAAAGTTCATAAGTATCAGCAAGACTTCCTTAATTATGTTAAGTAATTTTATTGGAGCTTAATAGCAACCACCAAGTTACATGGTAATTAAAACTGTACGCATATCTTTGAGAAAATGAAGATTGGGAATGGGTATATAGAGGGAGACACAGTTAGAGAAAAAGTTTGGTGGCACCAATCATGCAGTGGCAATTAGTCTAAATTGTGTGGAAAGTTTAATAATTGTCACTCCCCTCCCAGGTCCTATCTCATCAGATCCGGCCGCTCCAAGGGACTCGGGATCCAAGAGGAGGGTGAATATTTGAAATGGTTTTCTTAATAATCCCTTTAACAAAACATCATAATTAATCTCCATGTAAAATGTCATTACCCCTTATATTAAATTTTTTAATCTAACCCTCGTACTTTTAAATCTTTAAGTCACTTGTAAACTTTTAGATTCTTATCAACCCCCAAAACTCTGAAAAACATGATAGTTTCCCCCTCAGAATATAGGAGTCAATTCAAGAGGGGGGACTTTCCTAAGGCCCAAACCGAAAGAATAAAAAGGGTTTACAAAAGAAACTGGGCCATATTATTAATAGGCCAGCCACCGAATAGTAAAAATCAATACCCAATAAAATAACTAGGCCTTATTATAAGTTAATAGGCCAGCCCCACCTATATAATAAATCCAATACCACAAAACAAATCTCTGCCCAAAATTCCAATGAACAGTGAACACAATACAAAAACAAAATTCTAGCAAGTCAATGATAGTAAACTTAAAATTCCAGCATCATTTCAAATTAAGGGTCAGCGAGTACAAACATAATATATGTAATTCCAGCAACACTTTAAATCAAAAGGGGCAGCCGGTTCCATGTACTACAACTCCATATTAAAAAAAAAAAAAAAAAAAAAAAAAAAAAAAAACTCACATGTATGCCATTTGTACTTCATCACTTAGCCAACAATTTACTTAGTTTTATTTTCCAATATATAATCAACCTTCCATAGGCTACATATATCATAAAAACAAATATAGGACAGTAACTAAGTGTATGAATAAACCATTCAAGCATGAATTTTGAAAACATGAATTGTTTATGCAATACTAGTCCACTCACGACTTTTTCCCTTGCTTTCAATCAAGTGCTAGGTCCTCTTGTCTTTCACTATTGATCAAAATTGTTTAAGGATTAGATCTAATCAAAGAGGAAAATGAAAGATTGATTAAAATACAATAATGGATTGAAAATGCATGTCTAACTCTTGTCCTTACCCCAAAATTTCTCCGAAAATTCTTCTCCTACAAAGCACTTCCAAATATTGTTTTTCTCTCTTTCAATTACACAAAGAAGGTAAGGCAAAAAATCCTTCTCCTCTGTCACCTTTCCCTCTCACTCCTGGTTTCTCTTTCTCCACTCTCCCGTTTTCTTCTTCTCATTTCAAATTAATAGAATCCTTCAACCAACATTGGCAAAACTAGCTACCAACAATTCAGTTTTTTAATCCATCTTGCAGGGAGATTATGCATGTATCCCTAGTTTCTGATTTTACATCTTGCACCCAAATCTTTAATTAAGTTCTGTTTATTACAGTCTCACCCCTAGAAAAATTTCATGTGCCCTTGCATGTCACAAATATCATAAGACCCCTTGTCTTTAATCAATTTAAAAATGTCCCTTAAAAGATTTTGACATTTTAATTGTACTCAAGTCCTCACAAAACTATTAACAGTCTACTAGATCTTATTCTTACTAAATGTTCCCAAACAGTTTCAATTCTTACACATTACCCCCAAATTCACATAAATAAAAATCCACATAGAAATATGGGGTATTAAATAATGCTTTGATCCGATTAAATTTTAAAGTTCAACAAACTCCATCGTATGAAAGTCAGATTTATATTTTGTTTAGTTGAAATATGGAGATTCAAACCTATGACATGAGGCTTAAAACCATGTTCAACAACGGATAGTTTCAGCATTAATTTTATAACAACTGACCTGGAACCTTTAATCTACTCAACATCCGAAATTCACAAACTCAATATGCATTTTCTTTTTCTTTTAGCTCAACACTTAACAATTTTGATTAAATTTTGTTGTTTTCAATGTATTTTCTTAATTAAGCATAAACAATGAACTCGCCTCGTGCCATAAACAAACTCTAAAAAAATTTACTTTATTTAGAGTCGTTTATTTTGGATGAGGATTTTATTTTATAGATAGAACTAGGAGTTGGATGGAAGACTTACAACAAAGAGTAGTCTTAATTTGAACTTGAAACAAAAAAATCATCCATAGAGTAAATGGTTGAATATTACATTATCATACATATGAGCACTTTCTTCGAAAAAATCCAACTTTAGGGCTTTGAATATTTGAAAATTCATAGCTTATTGTGTTTGAATTTAAACTGATAGAACTAATGAATCTAGACATTGCCACAAAAATATCAAAATTTTCTCAAAAATAAACTGATACAAATGAACTATACCCAGAGTTTGATGGAAAATGCAAAAGACCTATACGTCCAGAGAATTTTATTTTTTTTTATCACTTGAAATTGACAAGGATCTTGTTCTTCATTATTTTTTTTCTTTTTGCAAAGAGCTTCAGAGTAGATGGATGCTCATTTTTTGTTTCTGCCGCTGAAACAGCTAAATGATTTTTAGGTCCGAAGAGATCCAAAGCACTTGGTCTTAGAACTCAGGAGAAATCTCTTCAACCGTAGAGTTGTCGTCATGAACAAACATGTATGTATTTCGCACTCCATTTCGAGGTTCTTCTGTTCAACACCATCCCCATTAGCACCTGGTAGAGAACTAGCTAAAGATTGTTACGTCCAAAGAGATCCAAACCACTTGGTCTTGGAACTCCAGGAGAAAATCTCTTCACCATAGAGTTGTTTTTATGAACAAACTGTATTGTTTCGCACTCCGTTTCGAGGTTGTTCTGTTCAACACCAACCCCTTAGCACCTGATTGAGAACTAGAAGCTTTCGGTTTGCTGCTAAAACGGAATTTGAACATCGTTAAAATCTCAAACTCAATTGCACTCTCGCTCTCACTCTAGGGTTTTTCTTTTTCTTTTCTGTTGATGAGCCATTGGAAATTATAACAAAATTCACTCGTTGAGAATTTTACAGGTAGTTTTCTGCACCGCGTTAGTCAATAGGCCGCGTTAGAATAAAAACTCTCATAGTTTCTCTCTCTTATATAGTTTTATTTTATTAGAATTTTCAACAAATACAGAGTCTAAATCATATATTAAAATTTACCTCAATCAAATTAATCTTATATCCGGCCACCTAATTGGTTAATGTAGACTAATTAACTTCGCAACTTTTCTACCTTAATCAAAATTGGGAATATTTTCATAAATTTAAATCCTTAAATTGCATCGTGAGTTTAGTGTAATTTTTCCTTTGTTCATAAAATTCCTTCCTTGAGGTCTTAAAAAAAAAAAAGAAATTAAGGATTTCAGACATTTTTCCCGTGAATATTGCCTATAACATTTCTTTGCTTTTTCCCAAGCTGTTTATCATTTCTTTTTCTGTAAGGAAACGAGATTTTCACACGTAGAGTGTGTTGATCTTTGTTATCTTTAAAAAATGTTAATATGTGGACCTGATAGTAAATTTGACCTGTCTTTAGGGTGGATATTTTTTGCAATTTTTACTTAGAAGAAGACATATATTGTACATGGTTTTAAAACCTGGCAAGTCCGATTGAAATTCGGTACAATGAATGGATAAAACCTGTTTTAACCATTGGACTAGATTGACCCGTGGTTCAACCAGTGGCTAAAACGGATTACTAAAGTGCAATTTCAAAATTTCAATTTCAAATGATGCCATGTTAATGTTGGCATTTATTAATACTAGAGTTTAAAATTTTATTATGTCATGCTAACGTTAGCATGCACCATCGGTCAAACCTACTGATCGAACCACCTAACCTAGGGACCAACCCCTTGATCGGGTCAAAGCCCAATCCGGATATAAAAATATTGACATTATATAAATTAAATTAATAAATTTCTAAAATTGTAACACCCATAACGAAAAAATATTTTGTGTCAAATAAAATTTCTTGTAAATTTCAATTGAAAAACTTGCAACTTTAGGGAAAGAAAAGGAAAAAGAAAAAAAATGCAAGCAAATGTTTGCTGTAGTACGACAAACTCGTACTATATATATTATATACCAAAACTTTTCAAAAACTAAAGAAATATTGCAGTCAACAAATAGTTAATTTCGAAGTTATAAGAAATAGTTATATTTAGTAATTTGTGTTAAGTGATAATAATCAGATATTGACTTGACTGAAGGAACTGCGTTGGAAATTACTACTTAGATAAGTTAGACTAGTTTTCGTGGCCATAGCCCATAAGTAAAGCACTAGAAATGTTTGACCTGGAAAATAATATCCCAAGCTTCTTCTCATTGGCAAATAAATATTGTAAAATTTGTAGAGTTCTCATTTATAATGTCATTGTATGCTAGTTCAGATCACAAAAATCCTCTCATAATTTTAGGTGCAATTTTCCTTAGCTACCTAATGGTCAGACCATGAAGTTATTTCTTTTTCACCAAGAAATCGGTGTATGAGTTTGTAACATTATATATAGAAATTAAGGTTTAGGTACAATAGGAACTGGACTATCTGCATCAATTATTCTAACAACAAATATAGTTTATAATATTTAAATGAAGTTCTAAAACTCAGTTATTAGTTAATTAACACCATGCTAAGTAAGCGGTAACAGAAATACTTCACTTTCGCCTAGTGTCGGTTAGTTGCTTCAGCAAACGCTGCGTTTCTATTACATTTCTTAGCAACAAATTGCAACTGTGCTTGTGAATCTCAGAAGTGAAGAACAAATCTGTGGGTCATAACAGATGCTGTGCAAATCAGTTTTAGTTTTTAAAACAAGTGTTTTTTTTTTTTTTTTTTTTGGTATTGTTTACAGCAGCTTGTGTGTTGCTGACATGGAAATTTACATGAATTGCCAACATGGATTTTGTTTTTTTATCAACAATCCATGATCTAATTCAACATCGTTCATAAAACTTCGAGGAAAATAAATAGTTGAGAAACTACATAAAAAACATTACCGTTTTCAAAAAATAATGTGAATTCTTGAATATTAAACTATTTGGGCTTATCATTAAACCGTATATAGATTATTAGTTTGATATTTACTTTTAAACCCAATGTAAAGCCCATATTTGATCCATGTATTTAGCCCAATAATATGTTTTAAATTAAAAAAATCTTGTAAATAAATCTCATTTATTAAGAAGTTGTTAAATAACTATTAATTATGAAAAGTGGTAGATGAATTTATTGGATATGTGTTAATTCGGAGTTAGAGTGTAGAAGACTTCCTTGAATACTACAAAAGGGGGTTACCCCTAGCCATTTGAATAAACAAATTTCAGAAGCAATAATAATTCTCTCAAATTTGAGAAGCAGTAGTAATTCTCTTCAATCACTCTCTCCTTAACCATCTTAGTAAAGCTCATTTTCTAACAAAGTGATATCAAAACTATAAAGATCTTGAAGATGGTAAGTGAGTGGTTTCCTTCCAGTTCTAATGCTTAGCCAAAATATGGGAGATTGTGGAGAAAGGCTACAAGATGAAGGCATTGCTTAGGTCACAAGACCATGGGAGATTGTGGTAGTCGGAATCTATACAACGGCTACCTGCTGACCAGAAATGGTCGGAAGTTCACAGCTGACGACCAAAGAAATGGCCGTCGTTGACGGTCAACGACGGCCAAATCTTGGCCATCATTGACCAAAAACGACGGCCATATCCTTGGCCGTCGCTGACGGCTAAAGATGGACTTCTTTTGACGTTTTCGGCCGTCGACAACAATATTTAGCCGTAGATTTGGCTGGAAAAGACATAGCGATGGTTACGACACAGATCCGACCGGTCTATGTCGTAACGAAATTTTTCGGCCAGATTCCAGCGGTGGTGGCCAGAATCTGGCACTGCAGGTGGTGGAGTGTTTTTGTCATTTATATATTAGGGTGTTTAATTAAATTAGCAAACCTAGGGGTTTTTTCATAAATTTTTAAATTTTACCTGTAATACTCCCAATCCAACTACTAATATTATTCCCAAATCCTATCCAAAATAAAAACCAAACGCACTCTTATTTATTAGGAAGTTGTTAGATAACTATTAATTATAGAAGACGGTAGATGATATTTATTAGGATAGGTGTTTGTTGGGAGTTGGCGCATAGAAGTCTCCCTTGAGCATTATAAAAGGGGGTGACCCCAAGCCATTTTGAAACAGCCGAATTTGAGAAGCAATGGTAATTCTCTCTTCAATCACTCTCCTCTCAATCATCTTAGTTAACCCTGAGTTAGAAAACTCCTTTTCCACAGAATTTGATGTCTATACCAATTCATTTTCTCTTCTTCGAAGGAAATAAATGCAGAACTCTAAAACTACATAAGAAAATTAAAAGCCAACATAATATGGCTTGTGTAAATTATACAAGATCTCAGTTTAACTGTGTTATTCTAGCTTCCAAGCTTTACCACCGTTCATGTGAATTTCTTTAGCCTTCCAAGGAGCATGACAAGAATGAGTATCAATTTTCCACCATTACTCCATTCCAACAAATCCATACCAAGTGTCTTTGCATGAACTCTCAGGATGCAATTGCCGTTTCAGCTGTACCCAGTGGTGAACCCAACATTCCCATATGCACTACAGGAAGGCATGTATTTTTCCTTTTAGAAAATCTTAATTTATATTCATATATAAAAATTTATATTTCAAAATAATCTCTTCACCTTATAACTCTACGGTGATGTTAACACATTGAAGTTGAGGGGGTCTTCCTTGATTTTTTGCCTCTCTGTGATGCAGACCAGGATGGTAGAGATGACTAAATAAGAAAGTTGTGAGAGTATCAGATTCTTAGCAAAACGCTTCTTTCCCTTTTTCTTGAGTTGCCATTTTTGAATCTGTTTTACGGTATCTTCTGGGTAAAAACGATGATAGGGTGGGAGATACCTGAACAAAGTAGGAAAAAATAGTTATGATCTGTTTTTGTCATTTATTTGATATAAATTCTAATTGTTGAGGACAATATGTCTATAAAAACTAATAATTTTAACGAGAGATTAGAGAAATTGATGTTTCTATTTTAATATTTTGGTTAACGAGTTCAGATTAGATTAAAAGAGCAAACAATAATAAAAACAAAACTTAGAAAGTGCTTTATTGGAGTATTTTGAATAACAATTTTCAGGTATATTCTTAAGACATTAATTTAAGCCTGAGAATTTTTTTTTTTGTCTTTAAGAATTGAAAACATTAAATTGTTATAATTTTGGAAAAATACTTTCCTAAATTATCAATCTAAAGTAGGATTTTGAAAGTATCTTTTTGGGATAAAAATCTCTCTTTATAGTCAAATAACAAACCCTTTAATTATGGAGTTAGTATACTTAAGAATCTTATGTTTAAGCCATAAGGGAGGCAATTTGGGTTACCCAAAAAAAAAAAAAAAAAAAAAAATTAGACCTAAACTTCCGAAGTATAAATAAGAAAATTCTTTATGTACAAACTATTTATGCAGATTGATGTGTTTTTTAAGTGATAACACAAAAGAAAGGGTTCCAAGTTTACCCTTCAACATGTGGTATCCATGAATGGCCAAAGAGAAGATGTGACAAAAGATTCTAACATTATTTATCTGATCATCATCTATATTAACATATACAAATCAATAATTTTCTTTTCTACGATTTTTATATTTACTTCTTGTGCTCTTGTCCTCAGAAGGGTATATAGAAGGGGCCTTTGAAATTTCATGCCAAAGTTTACTAAGAATTACTTCTAATTATATAAATTAATTACTAAAAACAAATATATATATATATATATATTTTGGTGTTTTACAAATTCTAATTTCATAGGTTAATCTTAGCACCTATCATTTAAAAGCTATACATTAAAATTTAAAAATATTGATTATCTACTGTATATTAAGCATGAC